CCTATGTTAATGTTCAGTGAGATAGTAAAGATGTGAATGTGAGGATTAAAAAATAAAATAATGTTGATTATAAACACATGTCTATGGTTTCTGAGATTGAGGTTTCTCTTTTGCTGTAATGATACAGTTTATTGTGGAAAATATAGATTGTGGAGGGTATTAAAACGAACTTTGCAGGTACTGTTTTAGTAATACACGAGGATGAAAAGGAGGGCTACCTTCTTAAACCGTAAACCTCCTATCCCAATCCATCACTTTTTGATTGGACAGCAATATCGTCAATCACCCATAGCTCAAACCTGATTGGAGTCCGTATCCATCAGTTAACCGACAGCAGACGCACCGCCCGCTGATTGGCCGAGATCGCTGAGACTGAGGACAGGGGGGAGGGCGTGGGCTGGATTTGAGAGGAATCTACAGGAATCTATCGTTCTACATTCCGGCTCTCCCATTTGGTTTATTCGTACTTTATACGTCGCGTATACAGTTAATCACGTTAATTACGCCGCAGAATTAAGTGTCAAGGTAGATACAATTAGCCGCGATAACCCATGGCGATAACACTAGTCTGTCGACTTTACATTTTAACAAAATCCCCTAATTTGACGGCGAGGGAAGAAATACAGCTGTCAATTTTCCTGTGGTCGTTGAATACTTAAGGAATAAAAAATAAATACATTTACGGTCATGAAATGTGCATTTAAATCACATCAAGGCATATGGCACAAATGTTTATTCTGAAGGTTTGGACCGGAAGTGGTTTTATGTGACTGTTAGCTTGACTTGATTGGCTACTGTAACGCTAGCCTGTATGAGTATTAGCAAGGATGCTCGGTCTCTGGTATTAGTGACCCATAGACAGAGAGTGCAGCCTGGACGAAGATTGATAATACAACGCTGTCTTGTATGACCATAATTACACAATTATTCGCCTGATATAAGACTTACTTTCTTTTTAAAACAACATTTTTACCACTCGGGAATCGTAGGCTGTTTATATGGAAATATGATTAGCTGTCACAGTATAACGGACGTAAAGCTAGACAGTTTGTGGTAAAACGCATTTTACTTTTTCTTTTCTTTTCCGTTGCTGTTGGGAATTTAGTTCAATGCGTATGGTGCTGAGATATATCGTGCCATTCTGAAAGTGCAGGGACGGTGGACAGACGTCGCTCCGGTAAGCAACCTTTTCATCTCTGAGGATTAACGGCGGAGCAGCGCTAAAGTAGCTGCGTACTTTAGCTAGCTTCACCTGCAAACCACCAGCTATCTGCTAGCGTGTGGCTCAGAGGCTTTAGCCTGTTATGTTTTTTCTCCTGTCATTTAAAAAATGGCCTACGGTATCAGCGTATAGCCTGCTTCTAATGCAGCAATATCAAACTGCTGGCACACTCAACATGTCTCTCCGTATCAACCGTTATGTCGTCCATAATACCTAGCATTAAGGCGAGGCTTCCCTTAATAACAGCTTAAAGTGTGTAACGTGACATTTACATTTCATGTTTAACGTCTAGCGGTAAGCAAATGACTTAAGTGTTCTCATTATTACTGTTAACATATTAGCATCATGTTGGCTCCTGTCTATAATGCGGGGCGGTCGCTCACAAATGAACAGCGTTACTCCGGAGGTATTATTTTAGACACAGGCCCACCTCTAACAACCTGTCTAAGGGCCTTTATCACTATTGAAAATATGGTTTTATGATGAATTCGACATTAACAATCCATTATGAAGCTTGTACAGGTATATTACAAGTGTGCAAACACACAGCCAGGGTGGTAGGGAATAGGGAGGGACCATGGGAATAACAGGCACTTCTCACTTTTAATAATTAGAGTGGGTAAAACGAGCATATTAGATTATTTTACATGGACCCTACTTGTTTACAAGGTCCTCGAGGATTGTTCCAGCTGCTACTTTGGATGTGTCAATAGGCAATATTGTATAGCAAAAAAACCGAGAATACTATTAATTGTGTTTGGAGCTACGTTAAAAAGTCTGAGGCCATTTGGCATCCATTTAGAGAAGCACATCCTACAAACAGACGCAGCTCCATGTCTCCTGGGCCTGTGTGTCTCTGCAGGCTCTAGCGTGTGTGTTGCCTGGCTAACAGAACATCTGATTCCCCAGCCAGCTGATGCTGATAACACTGTGTGCTCTTTACACAATCAACAAGAGGGCTATTACAGTGTGGACATACACTGAAATACTTCATTTCTATTGAAACTCAGGTTACATGACTAAGACAAAGAACTGATAAGAACATTAGTCTGAGGAAAACATTGAATTTTCATAACATCCTAAACAGCAAAACCTTAAAAATGTTGAACACAGCAAAAACATATCTGACAGCCTTTTTTGTCAGCCTTATTAAAGCCATATTACCTAACTATATTCTTTGTTATAAATAAGGATGTTTACATCAAAGCGTCTTTGAGCATTAGGAAAAGGGCTATACAAATCCAATGTATTATTATTATTATTATTATTATTACATATATGCTACAAACTTTTACGATCAGTTTTATAATCGTCTCCACGTTAGTAAAAAAAGAGATTTGAAGACACAATATGATGACTTTATTTACATGTGATGTATTTAAGATAATTGCTTATTTCTATTACGCATGTGTTCTTTTTCCTCTCCTCAGTGATGGATAATGCCCATACTAAGACGGTGGAGGAGGTTTTGGGCTTCTTCACTGTCAATGAGTCTACAGGTCTGAGCTGTGAGCAGCTGAAGAAGAACAGGGAGAAATGGGGAACAAATGGTACGAATGGAAATGTCAATGTAATACTGCTGCAAATTAAACACAGAGCTTGGGGAAGTAAAAAATAATTGATCACTGCTCTGCTATTTCATTTAATAATTAAAGTACCGGTGGTGTTAATGACGTCATTTTTCTTATTCTCCACCTTCTCTCTTTTTTCCATCTACCTTTAACTCTTTCTTTACTCACAGAATTGCCAGCCGAAGAGGGTAAGATATCTATCTGCAACTGTCATCCCTCCATCAACCTATTCATACTCATCCATCCATCCATCCATTCATTCCACCACCATCCATCCATCCATCCATCACACCTTTCTTTTTTTCTTCTTTATTCTTCTGCTGCTCATTGTGTTCCTTGGTGTCTTCATGCAGGGAAGTCACTGTGGGAGCTGGTCCTGGAACAGTTTGAGGATCTGTTAGTTCGAATCCTGCTGCTTGCTGCGTGCATCTCCTTCGTAAGGAAAAATAACTGTGTGCAAAACCACACTCAAACACTTGTTCACAAATATATGGATTTTGAATGGACTGTGCACTTAAAACCTGCGATAAAACACATAGGATGAGTGTTAATAACACAATGCCACATCAAACACAAACCTTTTCTCTGTCTTCTGTGCCGCAGACCCTGGCGTGGTTCGAAGAAGGGGAAGGGACGATCACAGCCTTTGTTGAACCCTTTGTCATCCTCCTCATCCTCATCGCCAATGCTATTGTGGGAGTGTGGCAGGTAAACAGTGTGCAGGTTTAGTGGATTGTCAATCATGGCACCCTATTTGGCCCATTTAATTATATTAAAGGCTCATCAAAATGTCATTATGAATGGATTAAATGTAATCTCTAATTTCTTAAATATGTGTTTCCTGTTTGACACCATTAATTTAATACAAAATAGCCTATGGCTGCATGAATCAAGGCTCTACAATAAAGCAAGAGAGTAGCAACTGGTGCACCCAATGGCTTCCAATATATATATATATATATATATATACATATGTGTGTATATATATATATATTAGGGCCGGGACTCGATTAAAAAAATTAATCTAATTAATTACAGGCTTTGTAATTAATTAATCGCAATTAATCGCATTTTTAATCGCATATAAATATTTGACCTGAGAACAGTGAGAAGCAATTTTTTTCACATGGATTTTAGTATACCATTGAATAATGACTGAATACATAAGCTTAAGCAACAAAACATTGTTTATTTTTTTCAAGGAGGTTCTTAACCAAGATCAACAGAAAAGTGCAATTTTTGCCATAAAGTGTAGCAATAGCATATTTAGGAATATAGTACATTTCAGAGATTCAGGTAGCCTATAGGTAGGTAGACCTTCTGTAAACTATAACACTTTGTTTTTTAAGTAAAACACAATACTTTCAAGTACATTCAGAACATTGGAAACCCTGACTATTAGAAAACATCTCTCTGTTG